TACTCCTCGTTGCGGTGAGCGGGCTTCTCATTTCAGTGACTTCTTTTGTTGTGGAGCACAGGCTCTAGGCACACGGGCTTCAGTAGTTGTGGTGCACTGGCTCAGCAGTTGTGGTGAACGGGCTTAGTTGCTCTGCGGCATGTGGGATCTTCCCAGACCAGGGCTCAAACCCGTGTCCCCTGCATTGGCAGGTGGATTCTTAACCACTGCGCCTCCAGGGAAGTCCCTGCTAAGTTTTTATGTAATTATTAATTTAGCTTCAAATTCTCTCCCAGTTAGCTGTATATCTTCTCAGTAAGTTCAGAAAAATATCATGTCTTCTATCAATTTCATCTTTTTGGAAACTTCACTCCCTGCACCTTCTGAAGTGGTTGTTTCCTGAGCCTAATGCACAGCCGCTATCCCAGGATCTCCCTTCTTCATTACCCCGGGGGATTCCTTTGCCTTACTCTTGAGTCGGATTTCTTGCTTCCTGAATCTTAACTTTCCTCTTTCTTGCTTCACTCCCTCATTTGGGCGGCGTACTTTTTCCTATAGGAGCTTTTTCTTCCTTTTGGTAAACTTAACATAAAATTTACCATTTCAACCATTTTTAAGTGGCATTAACTATACTTACATTATTGTGCAACCATACCACTATCCATCTCCACTTCATCATCCCAGACTGAAACTCTGTACACATCAAACAACAACTCCTCATTCCTACCTCCCCACAGCCCCTGGTAACCAATGTTCTACTTTTTGTTTCTATGTATTAGACTATTCTAGGCACCTTATATAAGGGAAATTGTACAATAATTGTCTTTGAGAGTTATGAGAAGTATAATTTTTGAGAATATGCGTATCCAAAAATTATCTACTTTATCACTTAATAATAACTTGGCCAGGTATATAATTCTGAGTTGCATAAACTTTTCCCTTTTAATTTTGAAGGCACTGCTTCAGTATGATATACCAATTAGGATCATGGGCTCTGGAGCCAGTCTGCCTGTTTCAAATCCTAGCATTTATTACCTCTGTCATTTGGGCACGTTTGTCAGCTCCTTTGTACCTCAGATTTCTCACCTGTAAAATGAAGGTAATAATAGCACCTATTTCATAGGGTTGTTGTGAGGATGAATTGTAAAGCACTTAATACAGTACAATATAGTTAGAGTCTATCTGAACTATTAGCTACTATTGCCTTGCAACTTCTGCTGCTGTTGAGAAGTCTGAAGCTGTTTTGATTCTTGATGCTTTCTAGGTCACTCATTTCTTTATCTTTAGAAGTGGCTAAAATCTATTTGTACAAATATTCTGAAATTTTATAAGGATGTTCCCCCATGTAGGTTTATTTTCTGGGCACTCAAGAGGTCCTTTCAATCAGGAGACTCATGTCCTTCAATTCGGGGAAATCCTATTGATTAATTAACTTATTTATTTAATGACAGCCTCCCCTCTATCTTTTTCTGTCCTCTCTTCCTGGAACTCCTATCATTTAGTTGATCTGGCCTGTCCTTTATTTTCACCTATATCGTTTATCCCTAGTCATTGTTTTTCGTATAGTTAATGTCCAAGAGCTCTGCCTTGTTCTCATTTCCCTTTTTTTTTTTTAAACAGCTTGTTCTTGTTTCATGGGTGCGTATACTCTTTTATCTCTCTGAGAATTTTCATGAAAAAAAAAAAACGGGTTTTCTTTTCCATTAATAGCCTTGGTTTTTGCTGTCTGCTCTACCATCTCTTTAACATTAGAGTCTTTCTTCTAACAACAAGTAATTCTTGGTATCTGCCAAGTGGGGCAAAAAAAAAAAAGCTAATTGGAAGTTGTGCATGTGTGGATGGGGTTTGTCAGCTATGGACTTGGATCTGATCAGGAGCCTGTCAGGTCAGTATCTTTTCTCTTTTCTCTTTGGCGGGCCAAATTCACCAGAGAAGAATTCTGCAATCTCCTCTCTGGAAGACGTATGTCAGGCTTCCAGCCTGCTGGAGAAGAGGGCTTGGGCAGTATTTAAATTTTCATTTAATCCTCTTGTTTTTAATGCACGTAGCCTCTCCGGGAAATAAGCCTCCAGTGTTTTGCTGGGGTGGAGGACAGTCACCCAGCTGTAATGAGTTGGAGAGGGCATTGAATTGCTTCCTCAGTAGCCTTCCAACTACAGCTCTGTGTTCTGCGGTTTTCCAGCTGTGCAGTGCAAATTAGGATTCTTTTCAGTGTTCATTATCATCAGCTTAGGAGTCTGCTTTCTTGGGTCTTCTGTCAGTTACCACTAGATTTTTTTTTTTTTTAAACAAGAAGAGAGCAATTGTTCATGTTGCACTTTTCACTTTACTCATCAAGAACATCTCTCCAAGTCAATAAATATTCTCGAAACTATGTTAATAGTTGCCTTGTATTCCTTCATATAAATGTACCATCATTTATTTAACCCACTTTCTACTGCTGGATAAATTTGGGTTCTTTCCAAATTCTTTCTATTATAAGCAACTGTGTGTTGCACATTTTTGTTGCAAATGTTCTGTTTATGCCTTTAATTATTTCCTCAAATTCAATTCAGTGCTACTTCTGTCAGCACCGTCAATACTTCTGATGGCTCATTAGTCCCATGAGATGCTTTGTGAAATAGGTTCTGCAAACAAATACGTTTGGGACTGCTGAGATTCTGTGTGGGTCGGTAGTTTAAAAAGCTCCATAGGTGCCTTTGTTGTGCAGTTCAGTTTGGAAACCATCTTGATCACAGACTCTGCTTCTGTTTTATCCAAGAAAAGCTGTGCTGTTTGAGGCCTGAGTGAAGCAGTATTAGAAAAATTCGCAGGTGTCTTAGTCCCTTTGAGCTACTATAATAGAACTCCATAGACTGGGTGGCTTGTAAACAACAGAAATTTATTTCTCACAGTTCTGGGGACTGGGAAGTCCAAGATTAAGGCACAGGCAGATTTGGTGTCTTGTGAGAGCCCACTTCCTGGCTCATAGGCACCATCTACTAGCTGCGTCCTCACATAGAGGGATGGGTGCAGAAGCTTTCTGGGGCCTCTTTTACAAAGACACCAATCCCGCTGGCCTCTGTTTTCATGACCTATCATCTCCCAAAGGTCCTACCTCCAAATACCACCACACTGGGGATTAGGTCTCAACAAATGAATCTGGCAGGCAGTGCGGGGGGAGCGGGTAGGGGGCATAAAACATTCAGCCTCCTGTAGCATGGCAGGAATATGTGTGGCTCAGAATGACAAACAGGGGCTTCCCTGGTGGCACAGTGGTTAAGAATCTGCCTGCCAATGCACGGGACATGGGTTCAAGCCCTGGTCCAGGAAGATCCCACATGCCGTGGAGCAACTAAGCCTGTGTGCCACAACTACTGAGCCTGTGCTCTAAAGCCTACGAGCCACAACTACTGAGCCCGAGTGCCACAACTACTGAGCCCATGCGCCACAACTACTGAAGCCTGCGTGCCTAGAGCCTATGCTCCACAACAAGAGAAGCCACCGCAATGAGAAGCCCACGCACCGCAACGATGAGTAGCCCCCACTCGCCGCAACTAAAAGAAAGACAGCGTGCAACGACGAGGACCCAACGCAGCTAAAAATAAATTAAAAAAAAAAAGACAAACAGCCCAAACAGCCCTTTGTGCCTTAGCACAAGGCACAAAGTATAGCCCACCTACCTATCCTCAGGATGTGCTCAGAGCTCTATACAGCGGGAAGTAATGCTTTGGGCATAATTTCGTTTAAAAAAGTTCATGAAATAAGGCACAGTTTGTTTGGAAGTCAAACTTTATAGTCTACACTTGGAAAAAAAAACAGAAAAAAAGAATGTTTAATTACCGTTGAGAATTTTGAGAGAGGGCTCCAGATAGAAAAAGAAGCACCACTTCAGCAATGTCAAACAAAGGGCCAAGTCTAGTAATTCTCAAATTATAGTGAGCAGACACTTCACAAGGCAAGCTTGTTAAAAATGCAGATTTCTGGGCTCATCGCTCGTAATCTAACTCGTCATCTATAGTGTAGGCCCTAAATTCGGAACCTACAACATGGATTCCCCCAGGAATCTGCTGTAGGTGGTTCGTGGACCAAAATTTGAGAAACTGGCATTGGCAATATTTTGCCAGAAATAACTAGGGTTGCTTGAATCTGGAAACTTCTCTGGAGTTTCCTTGTTAGTTGTCACAGGATCTTGGGGTTAAGGCTGAGAACACTTTTTCCCATCAAACAGGGCACCAAGCCCAGAAGATGTGCTGGAGCGACCCACTTTGGAGTGGTTTTAACGGAGCCCAGTGTGTCAGGCAAACGTTTGCAATGGAAGGGCTTTCTAACCTTCTTGTCTGGCTGGCTGTCTATTTCCTGGGCTCACTTAAAATTCATGCAACCCCCTCAGAAAACAAGGCTGTCAGGCTGAAAGGCTATACAGACCCTGGCAAAGGGCTTCAAAATTTTAAACAAGCAATTAGAGAAAATGAGAAAACTGGTCGGCTTGATGTTTGGTCCAAGGAATAGGAAATGGCTACTCAAAATTCGGAAGCACATTTTTTGGGGTCTTTTTGTTCCTCTCTGCACCTTAACTTTTTGTGCCCTAACATGCTCCTCTTTCATCTGAGGCCTGTCTCCTACTCTAGAGTGTGATCAAAGCGCCAGCACTCCAAGCTTTGACCCTAATAAGTAGCCAACGCCCTCACAGACGCTGGGCCGGATTTGGCGTTCGGGCTGAGGCGTGAGGCTCTCAAGCGCTCGCACGAATTTTACTGCGAGCTCGAAAAGGGGGCGCCGCATTCGCGGCGGGCCAACTGTCCTCCTCATCCCCAACTGTTGCCCCTTCCGGCCACCGGCTGCAGCCTTGCTCGGCTCCTAGGCTCTCGGGTCAACGGTCGCGGGCAGAGAAGCCCACGGGGACCTCGCGTAGAGCAGCCCCGCGTCCCCGGAAGCTCAGGCTCTCGGGCGCCGGGCTGCGGCGTTCTGGGAGGTCGCTCTGAGCGCTCCGCGGCCCGGCCCACCGCGTCACTCACGACCGGTCCCCGCCGGGCCGCCCCGGTCCCTGGAAGACACCGAGGGTAAGCACTGCGCATCCCGTGGACGTTCTGGAAGCCGGCGCGGGGCCGCGGGCGAGCCCCGGGAGGGAGTCGGGGTCTCCGGCGGCTCCTCCGCGCGTCCCGGGCGCAGGCCGCCGTCTGGCCCGAGCCCGCCCGGGTTTCAAATTCAGATGCGCGGCGGCTGTGCGGCTTCCCTCCGCTCCTCCCCGCCCTACAGAGCGCGGTGGACCTGGGGGCCTTTCATTGCGCGCGGACAACGCTCCTGCGTGGCACTGGGCGGAAAAGTCCTTGGGCACCGGCTGTGTACCCCCAGCCCAACCTCACTTTCTGCTCTTGTACACACTGCACTTGCCCAGCCAGGCCGCGTGCCCGTCTCAACAAGTTCACCCCCGCTCGCCAGCCAGAACCAGCTGCCTGCTTTCTCTTTGCTCAGCTCATGAATCCCCTCTAGAAAACAGACCGGAAGGGGGAGCTTTGGGCCTAGAGAAGATTTTTCTGTCCCAAAAGGCCCGCCTCCCGCGCACCTGGTTTTAATAAGAGCCTAGGGAGAAATACGGCCAGGGACCTGAAGAATCCCCAAGAAATTCTGTCTAGAGAGAGAAGGAAGGGCGCACACGGATTGTACTTGAGCAGGCGCAGTCACTGTACAAGGTTGTAAAGACCTCGTGCACTTTTCAACTTTCTTTGGCTTGGAGAGGATGTAGATGGTAGTGATGTTAGAAATGGCATATAAACAGCAGTTAAAAACACATCTATTAACATCAGAGGACAAGGAGATTGCACAGTTGTGCACAATGTATTCTTTTCTACCCAGTTTTAGTAACAGAAAAGGAATATTGAAAACAACCTTGCCCCTGCCCCATATTCCCCACCGCCTAGTCCATGTGCACACAGATGTTTACATAGTTGCATTTAGAGGTACACGGCATTCTTATTTCAAATTCTGGAACAAGGGAGGTGAATTACCTCCTAACAGAACAGAAGTCTTCTTTAGTTCTGAGCAAAAGATCTCTCAGTACGTGAACTGGAAGTTATAGATTGTATCATGCTTTCAACCTATGTTATAAAAGTTTAAAGGATAAAGGACATGAAAGGCTTTTTTAAAAGACCCTAGTGAGACATATATATTCACACACATTTTCTTTGCTCTTCAGTTAAAGCCAAGAACAAATTTTCCAATATAGCTCTTTGATCTTTGCACTCTTAAGAACTCAACTCTACCTTGTACTAGAATTTTGAGAACATTAATTTTTCAGCAAACATTTCTTAAACCCCTAATCAGCGTTAAACCAGAGAACTCATGGTTGTACTGATGTCCCCTCTGCTTGGAACGATTATCTCTTGCCTTTGCTTCCCTTGCTCGGCCTAACTCAGATCTCTGCTCCAATATCCGTTTCCCTGCCCACCGTCATGCACCAAAGATATTTTATTTCTTCAAGGCACTTACCACGATCTGAAATTATTAATTTGATTATTGCCTAGCTCCACCACAGTCATTTAGGGACCTGGCTGTTCTATTTGCTGTTAATGTCCTAGAACCATACACTGGCCAACTCCCGGGGTCTACCAGGACTTGTATTTAGTATATACTAAAAAAAAAAAAAAAAACTTTGCAGTTTAGAGTGTAGCCTTGGGAGCATTTGCTAAGTGATTGTGACCCTCAAGGAAATATATCCTTCCCCCCCCCCCCCCCCTTTTTCCCCTGGGTAGCTTGGGTGCAGCTGCTTTGTGACCCACTGGCCCTTCTAAGGACCCAGGCGTGGTGACCCACCAGCCCCAGGAAGTAGGCCCTGGAGGCAGCTCATGCAGTGTTTTTGGGTCCAGATCTTGGACTAGAGAGCGAGTGGGATTCTCCCCCAGAGGCCTGGGACTGCTGGCCACACAAACCCCCTGACCCTTTAGCACTTCCTAGTGCTTGGCTGCATGCATAAGGTTCCAAAGTTCATGGTGGGAGCTGCTTATGAAAGATGCGCTGTTATTGTTGGACTCCCAGCACAGGGAATAATTAGGGGAGTGACATGCGCTAAAGTCGAGGTCTTTTCTTGTGGGCTGGGTCATTCACGAAGCCACGACTGGCCTGTTGCTGGCAAAGGCTCTGGATTCCTACGTGGTTCACTTCTTGGAGGAAGCCTGGGTGAGGAAGACGCTGGGAGTGGGGGCAGAAAAGTTTGGAATCTTCCGTGGTTCCTCGGGGATTGATTGTGGTTAAGAACCACCTTGGGCAACACCGAGGTAGAGTGTCTGGGTCCGCTTGCCTTTCCTCAAGGCCACTCTGGGCTCCCGGGGCCTTACAGGCTGCCCTGCACGTCCTGGGGGCTGAGTTAGAGACCGCAGCAGGGGGAGGAACCCCGAGGTTCTGGAAAATGCCAGTTGCCAGCAAGGAAGAAGCTTTTCCTTAAGCTCTGCAGTGCCCAGCATGGTGTTTGGCACATGGTGTGTGTTTAATAAATGTTCATTCAAGTATGAAGCGTGAGAGTGCGCTTCGAACTGTGTTTCAAGCCTGGCTGTGTCGGTGGACAGGGACTCTCGAGGCATCCCCATGGCCCGCACTCCTCACTGTGAGATGCGAAGAATGTTATCCACTTCATGGGGTGCTTTTGAGGGTTAGATGGAGTAAATACTAGAAAGTAGTATACTCAGAGCTTGGCACGTACTGATAGAGTAGGTGCTAACACATTTTTAAAAAATACAATATGGGAAAGGTAGCAGTTACCTCGTGGGGGAGAAACGGGAATGGAGTCAGGAAGGGGCACACTGGGGATTTCAAAAGTAACCATCGTTTTTTCTTTCTTAAACTGGGTGGGTTTTGTGATATTGATATCCTTTATACTTTACGTCTTATAAATGTTTTAGTAACTGCTCCATATATGATAAAACATTAAGATTGCTCACTCTGATGTCTCCTATTTGTGTGACCGTGTCTTCTTCTTGCACAAGCTTATGAGGGAGGAATTATTATTATTTCCAGTTTACAGATGTGGGAACTTAGGCTAAATAACTTGCTTAAGTTATGCACAGGTAAATAAGAGATCCCGGATTTAAATCAGTCTGTGTTCTTGACTGCTCTGTATGGCTTTCTTATGTGTTGCTGATATAGCAGGTTGTATCTACGCTTTAGAAATAACGAAATTCATTACCCTACCAATGGTCCACTGACATAAAACTGCACATTATGACTTATCTGTGTGAATCAGTATATTCTCAACTGTGTGAAACCAAGACTAAATATAGAAATAAGCTTGATCCAGAAATGGCTGATTGCAAATTGCCACTTCTCACCCTCTACTTGAAATTTTATATTCATCAAAACTGCCTACTGTTCTCAGTGGTTCACTTAATAATGAGAAATGCTAAAATGCTATATATTTAAATTTAAAATAAATGCATATAAAATGGGATGCCACTTATATGTGTTTTATTTACTTTTTATCTAAAACACATAAGAAATCTCTCTATAAAATATGTATTGGGGTTCCATCTAAGATTTCAACAGAAGAAAGGTCCAGGATGCAAGAAAAAGAAAATTGACTATTGCTGGTTTAAGAATATAATTGAGGGGACTTCCCTGGTGGTCCAGTGGTTAAGATTTGGCCTTCCAATGCAAGGGGGTGTGGGTTCGATCCCTGGTCATGGAGCTAAGAAACCCCATGCCTCGCAGCCAAAAAACCAAAACATAAAACAGAAGCAATATTGTGACAAATTCAATAAAGACTTTAAAAATGGTCCACATCAAAAAAATCTTGAAAAAAAGAATATAATTGAGGTTTAAAAATTTGATAGCATGAAACAGCTAAATGTCATTCAACAGACATTTGTTAAATGTTTTTTTTTGTATAAAGCATCATGTTAGGCACTTAGGGAGAATACAGAGATGACTAGGATAGTTTGATATTCAAAGTTGTTTGTAGTCCTTCAATGTGTAACATGTTAATATACTATTGATTGTTTTGAGACGTGATGCTAATCAAAACTGATTGTATTATGAATTATGAGATTCCAACAATTGAAGTGTTTGGGAGAATGCAAAGCAAAGATCAGTGATTTCACAGCAATTCCTGTATTTGAGCTGGACTTCAAAGTTGGATAAAGACAAGGGGAAAATGAGAAGGTTCATTGAGGAGAGCAAATGCGGGGGCGGGGCGGTGGTTAGGAAATCTTGAGGGCTGTAAATAGTTCAGTTGACTAGAACGTTAGGTGGGAGATGAGGCCAGGAGGGCAGGTTGGAGTGAGAACCACGAAGAACCTCATTTGCCAGACTGAGGGGTCTGGCTTTCCTGATCCAGTTGGCAGTGGGGAGCCACTGAAGGTTCCTAAGTGTAGTTGTGACATGCTCAGCACTTCAGCCTAGAAGCATTCTTCTGATGGTGGTTGTTAAGAGGGAAGAAAACAGGATGTGGAGACCAGTGAGGAGGTTTTGGGGATAGTCAAGAGGGACAATCATAAGGACTTCAACTAGCATGATGGCAGGGGACATAGAAAGAAAAAGTTTTGACGGAAGAGGTATGGCTGGAGCTGAATTTATAGTTTGATGACTGATGGAATGTGTTGACAAAAGGAGAAATTAAAAAAGACTCTAGGGCTTCTCTGGTGGCACAGTGGTTGAGAGTCCGCCTGCCGATGCAGGGGACAGGGGTTCGTGCCCCGGTCCGTGAGGATCCCACGTGCCGCAGAGCGGCTGGGCCTGTGAGCCATGGCCGCTGAGCCTGCGCGTCCGGAGCCTGTGCTCCGCAATGGGAAAGGCCACAGGAGTGAGAGGCCCACGTACCGCAGAAAAGACTCTAAAGATTTGAGATTGGATGCCATTGACAAAACAGAGAAATCAAGAGGAGGAGCTAGGGATATTTTTAAATAATTAGTGCATGAGGATGTGAGAAAGCTGGAGTTGAAATTTCTATCCTGCAGGACTTCTCTGAGCCTTTAGAGAAAGTATCATACACCATTTCCCCAGCTGACCACAGAAAGCCCCTTTCCTCCTCCCCAAACATTTTTCAGAACGCTGTTTGGAAATGTATCAGCAGACC